TTGGTAGTAGTGTTGACTATAATAGTTTATTTTTTAATTATTTTACTTTATTATTTAATTAGTTGAGATCATGTAATTAAAATTCTATTATAATAGAATCTCATATAATTAAAATTTTATTAGAATAATAATTTTTTTATTAGTAGATTAAAAATTTTATAAATACCTTAGGTGTAATAACCTAAAGAGAGTAAAATAAAATTAATATATTCTTTTTCCAAAATTAACATGGTTTAAAGCTAAATAAAGTTATTTTAGTTTTTTAATTTTAGGATTTTTTCCAAACATTAAAATACAACAATAGGTTGGGTTGGTACCCATCTATGAAGATCTACTCTCGCCAGCTACTCAGACGGAACTCGTGCTGCCACTAGACAACCGCTCGCTGCCTCACGCTCTGCCGTTGGGATTGCCACACGCTGCCAGAAAATTTGCAGCCTGGCTCGAATCGCGGCGCTTCTTCCTTCGGAGGCCTCGATTTCTTCTTCTCCGATTGGATCTGCTCTCAAATTGCGCTGAAAACCAGGAATAGATTTGTCTTCCCGTTACAAATCTGCCTCTTTCCACTGTAGGCACACGCGCAAAACCGATGGGATCCGCTTTCTAGCCTTGCTGTGCGGTCCACCTTCTGGCTTCACCATGCAATTCGCTTTCTAGCCTCACCACGGGATCCGTTTTCTGGCCTCACCGAGCGATCCGCTTCCTTTCGCGCGAAACTACACGGTCTGGTCTACCTAAGGTGAGCCGCTTCCAAGCCGAGCCGCCTTCAAGCCAAGCTGATATGAGTCGAGCCAAGACAATATGAGCCAAGCCAAGATGACCTGAGCCGGAGCCGAGCCGTTTTTAAGTTGTTGCCTGAGCCAAGCCAAGCCACTGCCCTGAACAGAGCTGAACCATCTACGCCTGATTCGAGCGGAGCCAAGTTATTGCCAGACAGATATGCTTCTTCTGCATACGAGCCGCTCTGACCAACCTTTTCTACTCCTTTTTTCCGGCTTATCCGCTACTTTTATTTTCGCGACTAGGTCTTCTTCGTGCGCAAGCCGCTTTGAGCAGCCTTTTTGTGGTCATTTTTTTTGGTTTTTTAGCACGCGTTTGCCTATAGTTTCGCGATATTGGCATTAATCTGGTTTTTTTTTCGTTCGTAAGCCGCTTTGACCAGCCTTTTTTGGTCTTTTTTTCGATTTCTTTGTGTGCATCCATCTCCAGTTTCGCGATATCGGCGCAAATCTACTTATTTTATGCGCAAATCGCTCCGATTAGCCTTTTTTGGTCATTTTTTTGGTTCTTCCGTGCGTGTACCCCTCAGTTTTGCAAATTGATCTGCAAGTTGGATCTGTGTGATCTCGTTGCACCAACTTGAGGGGAGGTGTTGATTATGTAATTAGAATTCTATTAGAATAATATCTCATATAATTAGAATTATAGTAAAATAGTAATTTACTTATTAATAAGTTAAAAATTATATAAATATTTCGAGTGTAATAACTTAAATAGTAAGAAATAGAATTAATATTTTTTCTCCAAAATCAACAAATAGGAAAATTTTGAGTGTTCCCACCTCTTAGGTTCGAGCACTGGTGAGGGAGAGAGATATGTAGAGATTGTTGGGAATGGAATTGACCATGATGATGATGCTGATCTATAAGAGGTATTTCAAAATGCTTTTTTTTAAATAATTATTTCAAGAAAACGTGGAAAAGAATTATTAGAAACAAGAGAAAAAAGTACAACATTGATGGATAAGAAACTCCTGTAAGAAAAAACAAAAAGGAAAGACAGGAAAAAAAACTATCAAATAAGGCATTCCAGTCCCTCTGCAAAGTAGCCAAAGGGACATCCCTAGAAAAACCAGGAGCCATGGCCCACAAAGCGTTAAAGAAAACCATTATTTCCCATAGGTGAGAGATGAAAAAAAGATCCTTAAAAAATTTAGCATTTATGCTCTAACCATAAAATCGACAAGTTTATTGTACAATAGGTTGACTTCAGGTTACCTAGATTTAGAAATTATAATTTTATTAAATGTAAGATTATTATACTGTTTAGCAATCTATTATTATAGTTTTAGTAACTTTAAATTTTTATTCTTATCAGTATTTAGTTTTACTATTTATATTATAGTATTCTTTATTCTTATTGGGAGTAGTATCCCTAATTTTATTAGTTCTCTTATTTCTTATTTTAATCCTATTTAGTAAAAGTTATTTAGAGAGCAGTATAATATCTTTGTAACTTCTCTTCTGGATACAGATTCAGTTATTCAGTAAAATATTTTGAGAATTTCTTAATCTTCTAGTTGTGTTATGTAATCAAATTCTTAAACGTGATTCTTAAAACTTCTTAAGTGTTATGTTTAAAAAATCCTAGACATGATGTTAGGTTTTTATTCCAAAATTTTTAATTGGATAACTCAACCTTATTTGTCCTAGATCAGTTCAGTAGCATAGATAAAAAAAAAAAAAACTAGAAATAAAATCTCAAAACCTTATATTCAAACAGCCATAGACTCATAAGAAAAAAAAAAACAGAAACTGTATCACAGTATACTACTTCACCCTAGATCATAGTCCCCTGTGGGAGGTGATCAATACAGCCGCCACCATCAATCTCCGAGGATCCCAAACCCTTAGAACCACTGCCGCAAAACTCCACTAGAGAAGTGCCACTCGCCCGTGCAAGTCCTCTGGGCCGTTGTATCTCTCAATTTCCATATTTCCACAACAATGTGCAACCGCCACCTCCATTAAATTTAATTGACTGAAGACCGCTGCAGTCCATTTGATCAAGTTGGTGTGTGGACCCCACTTGTGCGACCCACAAATGGGCATTGCAAACTTGTGCCTTATTTGACTTTTTCTGAATTTGGTTTTTGACCGAATCGGTTCACCCAGACTGGTTTACCCCTAATACTGATTTTCAGCAAGAATCCAGGTATTTTGTTGGCTCTTCTCGTTTGTAGTCTCTATGCAAAGTAATCTAATAGTTAAAGTTTAAACACGTAGAATTGCAACGAAGAATATGAGTCACTGAAGGATCATAGAATTGACAAATCCTTTTTGACTATAACTGAGCACAATTATGCAGTTTAAGTTAAAAATGATCCAAAATATTATCCATTTTTTCAGACCATAGCTCGTTGTGGAAATAAAAATAAGAAACTCATCATTCATGAAGATTATTGCAGAAATTTTTCAATATCTGCAGTTGAACGACTCATCTTTTTATGCCAATCATATTCGCAACTATATAGACTAGTATATATTTTTGTAACTCAGCAAAGTCTTGTTTTTATTCTCATAGTATGTGCAGTGATCTAATTTTATACAATGTAGTTCCTATGATATTGATGCATATTCTTCTGTGTCAACCTCGGTTTTATGATCGAGATGTTCAACATGTTCAACATGATGATACTAACAATACTTATCACTTTATGCTCGATACAAAGGATATAATTTTAAAACCTCTAACAACAGAAGAGATGAGCAAGAACAAATTGCTGTCAGTTAAAGAGATAAAGAGAAATGAGAAGAGCTGTCATGTCTTCCTAAGAGTAAAGACAATGAGGTTATTCCAGATCTTTTACTACCTAAGAAGAGTTCTATGGAAAATCAATGTAAGGAGGAAACTAAGCCAATAATTGGATCTAATGATGTTCAACTCAAGGATAAAGTTGAGGTGCAAATTGATCAATATGTTGATTTCATCCCACCATAAGAGTTTCACTTATAAACAGATGTATTTGCTTCATGTTTGTTATTGAAGAAAATGATCATATTTCAAAAGAAAAAGAAAATGACCATGATCAAAGTTCGCTAAATTTTCATAAGAAAAATCAAATATCAAGGTTTTACATCATTTCTCATTTCAAAACTCATGGATAAGTTTTTTTAGTAAGGGGAGAATGATGTAGAATGAGTTTACCTTAAATCGTCAACA